CTGCAGAGACACTTGTACATCCATGTTTATTGCTGCTCTTTTCACAATAGCTAAGAGATGGAAGCAACCTAAGTGTCCCTTAATTAACGAGTGGATAATGAAAATGTGGTTCATTTATATGATGGAGTTTCACTCAGCAGTAAAGAAAGATGAAATCATGAAATTTTCAGGTAAAGGGATGGAAATAGAAACTGTTATTCTAAGTGAAATAACACAAACTCAGAAAAACAAATGACATAAGTTCACCTTCACATGTGGATCCTAGCACAAAATTCTTATAAGTATGTATGTATCCAGACATAACTGCAGGAAGCAGGATAATGAAAAGTAGGGAGGTAAATGAAAAGAAAGAATCTGAAAGAGAAGAACAGTAGGAAACAGGGGGCATTGACTACTGAATGCTGCTAGATGAGGAACAGCTGACCCTCCTAAAACAAAGACCTCTAGAGAGGCTGGCTAGATTCACCACATGGACAAGCAGTGGGGAATGGCTGGGGGTGCCGACAACACAGCAGACAGTAACAGGGATATCAGAGTATAAGGGCTCTAGGTAGGGGGAGGGACGCTATGGGAGGGTGCCATCTGGGAAGCGGGAGTATAGTTGAATAAAATGGTTTGGGATGTTCCATGTGATACACACACACACACCAAAAAAAAAAATTTTTTTAATGTATTATATTTGAGGAGGAAGCATGGAAATTTACGTCATGTTAATTAGTAGAGGTGATAAACATTACCATTGAAATCTACCAGATGACTTTATAGACATACACAGGCACCAAGGATCCAAGTGCAACCGATTATGACTAGTAATAATCAGATATATACATACAGATTAGAGATGCATGCGCCAACATCTCAGTGTTAGTAGCAAAAACAATAAGTCTGAAAGGAACAATATATTTTAAAATGAAATGGAGATCTTTTTTAAAGGTTAAAAACTCATTGTGGTGGCGCACGCCTTTAATCCTAGCACCCGGGAGGCAGAGGCAGGCAGATCTCTGTGAATTCAAGGCCAGCCTGGTCTACATAGTGAGTTCCAGGACAGCTGGGGCTACAGGGAGACCCTGTCTCAAAAAGACCAAAACAAACAAAAAAACAAACAAAACAAACAAACAAACAAACAAAAACTCATTCAATTTTCTGTCTTACAGGGCTTATACTGAGTTCAATATTGTATAACTGTATTAATTCAACAGTGAACCTAAAAATTTTATAGCCACTT